GCTTCGACCGCTTTAGCGTTGCACTTTCTTGAAGCGCCTGGAAAGTTCAGATCGGGCACGATCGCATTCGACACTTTTTTCAGAAAATTTTGCTACTGTGAATTTTGCGACCCAATGGAACCCCCACTACCACTGTCCATATTAGTAGGCTCTTTATTACAAGACAACCCCTTCTCCGCACCCCAATCACCACCCTCACATCACGCCTGTTTCTGTAGTATTTGATTCCGATGTAACCTGTAGACACACCCAACCAACTCCGCCCACTTTTCCTCTTTAACAGCCGCGGGGACGGAGTAGGTAGTGGTCTCAGTAAGCGGTAAGCCATTAATTGTCTATTTACCCTACTTTCGTGAAACTCGCCGAAACTCGTCCGGAAAACCTTTCAAATGCAACCCCCTTTTTACGACCCTTACTCATACTTTTCCCAAGGCAGCTAATCTTTCTCAACCCCTAAAATGTAACCCGTCCTCTTATTGAAACCGCAAATGTAATCCTCTCCTTCGAAGACTGCGAACATACCGTTGACCCTGGTTCAGATGACCCCGACAGTGGCAAAATGGCACTTTTTCCGCCTAGTTCACGTAACTGAGGCTGTAGCACTCACGGTTAAGGCAGGTTCTGGCGCCATTTTTCCAGTGATTTTTTTCACATGCTGTTTCTCCTTCCTGTTTGGCGTATCAGGTTACCCTTTCTACCTTCTACTTCCTATGGTGAATTTGGATTGTTGAGGAAATACATCAATCACATGCCTTCCTCAAATGCCAGAAAGCTATGTGGTCAATGTATTTCCTCAACAAGCCTTACGCGGGAGAGGAGTAGCTCAGGGTGCGTGAGCAGTTTCCATTTTCCAGAATTTCCTGCTCCCTTCTAGGGCACTCCTGTAAGAGGCCGACTGTGTTGCGATAGCGCTGGTCTTTCTTATTCAATAGTTGAAACGGAAAATTGAACAGGAATGGGTAAAATGAAGCAGTAGTGCGAAAGTAACGTTCTTCTGGTGATTGATGTTGCCTTTTTCCGGTACCCTGGCCGTCGTAAAGTAATTTTTCATTCCAATTCCTCCTACCCTTTATACGCTACTACGTTTATTACATGGTAAAAATCATGTGAAATATAACAGAGGAAAAAAAATAGAAAGAACTCAAGAAATGCTTCTCAAACAAAACTGATAAAAACTGAAAGATTGTAATCGCAACAAAATTCAACATCTGCCTTTAATCCCTCTCCACGGCCCCACCGTAATCCCAGCCAGGGTTCATCCTATTGCACAGAAGTCCAGCAAGGGGATGCGTACTTTGTTGCAGCTTGTAGGTGGGGAGGGGTCGTGTGATGTATCTTAGTTCATTGGTGGGTTTAGGGCGCGTAGGCATCGAAGAGCGGAAAAAATTTTCCGTTCCACGTGCGTATGTACTCTCCGCTGAGGATTTTGAGGAAACAGTGGCCATTGATGGCGAGTGTTGAGGGGGGGTCGTAAAAAAGTCTACCGAAAGTCACAATGTAGGGCTGACCCATGTTCCAACCCCTTTCGAAACGGTGGCCTCTGTACGGTGGAACACAATGAGGCCGGTCCGATGAATTTATTCAACCTAGTTTTTCTCCCCATGCAGCCTTGGATAAGAAAAGCTCAATTAGTAGGATGAACCGTCTGTGCCTCACTTTTTTCCGTACTTCCAACCTAATTTCTGTACCAACCTCATTTTGTAAATATTTACATTATGCGGGCCACCTGCAGAAATGCATGAACTCACCTCGTTCTTTGTACTTTAAACTCTGAAAAGTAAGCTAATGAGACCGCTGCTGACTAGCTTTCGAACGGATTTTTTTATCCTCTTTCTTATTATTTGATAAAATAATCCAGTTTTGCTTATCAACTGCACTGTTCTACTAACCATATACACTTATTGTAAATATGCTAATTACAAAAAAGTTTTTGAAAAACCTTGTAGGACCCGAAACTTACTGAAAATTGTCCTGTTGTTCTCTTATTGTGGCGCAAAATCTCCTGCTCTTTCTATCACTCCTTGTGTTGGTGCTCATGTCCTTAGTGGAGCACTGCAGTTAGCGGGGCTGAGCCTAGGGAGGGGAAAGGATTCTGGGAGAGAATGTGAACTAACTTGCCTCTCCCTGATGTTTATTCCCAATTCTGGGCGTCACCTACCAGCGAATCTGAATACCCTGTTTTGAACGTCCCCCCCCCCCCTAAGGACATGAGCGCCATTATGTCTTTTTCGATCGTTGAGTACGTTTTTATTGTTATATATCCCACTTTCGGAAAAATGACCGCAATTCATGGCGCAAATACTTATCGATCGATTTTCAGGCGAAATCGTTGAGGGGAAAATTTTTCTCTTTTCACTCTTATGAATCATTAAAGAACACTCGATAGAAGCCGTCGGCAAAGGCACGCAAAGTCACGTTGAAGTAGTGTTAATTGTGACAGTCGATGCTGTAAACATCCTATTGATTGATAAGATTGCTACAGCCGAATGACGTCACGGCCCTATCAGTGATAAGCGATTCGGTGGTAGTTACGGTCGGTTATTGATCTCCTGTCGTATTCTAAAGAACAAGAGATAACGAGCACCCTGCCTACCAAAGATGTTTCCATCGACTGCCAGAAGAAAGAACTCGGTCAGCAGTTTATAATTATTGATTGGTTTTAGTTATTATTACTTATATTTTTTCTCATATTTTTGAACGATTTCTTCTTTCATGCTGGCTACTTTGTCTTTTCACTATATTCTGTCGTCTTAAAAGAGTCTGAGTGCGACCAGGCGCTTATTTTAGCAGAAACAATGCAATCACGCGTCCGGTTGGTCTTCCAGGAATACCTCTAATTCATGTAAATCAATTGATAACCCGCAATCGCCAACATTAGGCGAAAATGAAAGTATGAGGCGTTTGACGATCGCCGAGCTTTTTTGGATGCGCCATGCATCCCACTTTCGCTCACAATTGTAGTAGCGATTGAATGCGATTTGACCGGAGGACTGAATTGCGAAACCAGCCAATGAGCACAGAAGCTTGTTTTTCTCAGTCTATTCAAATAAGCAAGGGCATGTGATACGCTACTTGGTACTTAGGGTAACTTCAATTTTTGCACGGGAGAAAATCCCGGGATGGGTGAACTATCTCCCTTCCGCTTTTACACCCACTCCGGAACTTCGTTCCCCTGCAGAAAATTGGAATTACTGTAGGTGGCACGAATTGTTTCATCAAAAAGATCCCATCGCAACCTCCCCCCCCCAAATGGAACAGGGCCGTTTCTACCGAACGAGTCCAGGGGAAGTTCTTCGACCTTGAAGGAATGGAGGATTTGGGCAGGATTCGATCCGAGACTTATCGATCCCTGAAGGGATGGAAGACAGCGGAGCGTCCCGGAAACAGATGCTGAGCGCTTGACTCATTTATTTATATATTTATTCGTTTACTTGTTTATTTAAGGTGCACCCTTCAGGACAAACTGGAAAAAATCCCATGATTACACAAAACTAGAAAGTTATATTTTACAAGGCGCTGCCCCTAAGGATAAAAAAATAACTTAGTATCATAACACAATCACACCATGGGCATCTTATCAATAGTTCGGCCCGGAACAAGGTAAACGAATTTCACCCTGTTTGATTAGGTAGCCGAAGAATACTCTTTGTTCCCTTATCCTATGTTTAATCGTTTCCACGGTTAGGTAACGGGCCCAGGATTTCAATCGATCTAGAAGCCGGTTGGGTTTTCCGCATTTTCTGTCCTTTAATTTTCCCATGAGCACTAAGCTCGGCATTGGTGGGCGGGGGGTATCCATGAGAGGGAGCCTTCCAGATTTCAGTTTCAGCTTTTGGGACTAAGTCTTCAGAAGGGAAAGGAATTGTGGGGGGTGATGTGAGCAATTTTCGGTCTACCTGGCGTTTCTCCCCTCTCTTGGGCTTAGTCCTTTTGCTACCTCCATTGGTATTTGATGCCCTGTTTGAATGCCCCCTTCCTCCTCCGAAAGTCATGAGCCCACTAGAGGGATCAAGAAACCAAGAACTGCTGCCTCATCAACTTATGCAAACACAATTTGTTCCATTCTATTTCTCCCTAATGAAAACCACCTGCAATCGCCCGCCTCCAACATTCCAAAGTCCAAGGAGAACCACTGCTTCAATAAATTAGAACAATTTTGCTCGTTTGGATTGTTCTCGAGACTTTCTTCGGATGTTTTTTCCTGATGCGCCTTCGTTATTACGACAGGAACCAGCCAGTTTCATTAGTATAGTTTTTTTCGATTAGCGATGGACTTCAAAAATTCGGCTCTATAAGGCTCGAAGTTCTCAACGACTGATTTTGAGGTTTTTGTTTTCCCATAATCAATATCGCCTCGTCATATGTTGTCAGAGTTGCAGGGCACACTTGGGTTGTTATTGGGCGCTGCCCACATATGTCCCAATGACTGCGTGTGCCCTTGGCGCTAGTCTCCCCGTCCGTTGCACGGGGCTGTTCCGAGTAGCTGAAACAATTGTCTTTTATTTTCACAAACAATTTATACTCGTTTTTGAACGAGCAAATAAGAAATTAGGAAAGGTCCGATTTGAGATAACAACCTCAACGATAACGAAGCTCTTGCCTGCTGTTTAGTCGATATGTCGTAATTGGAAATTCATTTTATTAAGTTATGAGTTGGATTTATGAATAGCACATCCATTATTGTGCTGTTCGCTAAGCTATTACTTGACAGAATTTGAGTCATAAGTTTATTCGAACTCCCTAAGCTGCTGATGTTGCTGTTCATCACTCGCATTTTTTGATTGGAATTCATGCGAAGAAATAGTTAATGTTTTTTTCACTTATTTCTGAGGTCATTGGAACCTTTGAAGTTGTCCTTGTCTCACAGCTCTGGAATTATTGACAGGCTTAACTTGACCAAGAAAATTCGATAGTAAACTGTCCTATGCCTTTACAGAGATTTTGTTGTCACTTTCGGTCCCAATGTGCCTCGAAACATTCCGTATTCGTGCCAATTTCAGATGGACTACACAGTCTCAGGGACTGATTCCCTGGAAAGCATCGCCGCCGCACATGATTGTACAGTCGGTGAATTAATGAAATTGAATCGGATGAGCTCTCGCATGGTCAGTTCTTTTTGTGTTTTACATTTTTCCTTATTTTTATGGGCGCAGTGTGGCTGTGGGGGGGACACAGTTCCGTAATATTGCGTACCCTCAGGGTGTAGGACTAAGTCGTTTGGAGGGAAGGGGGATCCGAGGTGTGTAAGTGATTCACTTTCTCCGGATTAGGCCTCTTCCTTTAGGTTTAGTCCTAGGTGGCCTTCCTTTAGACTTTCCCCGCTCTCCGAGGCACATTTTGCACCTTTTATGTTTTCACGATGCTATCGCAAGATGTTCAGATGGCCATCCCCAAGATTAAGTTTTGGAGGGTTGAGGAACACCGTGGAAACTGAACTTGCCCATGCACCCTGGAGTTTCCGGTCCCGCTCCCCCATCTTTGTTAATATTTTCTCCAAGCTACGTAGCCGGAACAAAAAAAAATCGTATCTTCTCCAATTTCTTTTTATGGAGTTTCAGGTTGGCGATCGTCGTTGCGATTAGTTATAATGAAAAATATACGCTGTATCGATTAGCCGAATAGGTAAGTTTTGCCTGACTAGACATGGAAGACATCACACGTATGATTTGAGTTTGCCACCCGCTCATAACGTTGTTAGGCCCCGGATTGTGCGCGATCAGCGGTCGATCAGTGGGCGGAGCAATAAGTCAATAATCGCACGTACGATCGCCAACTGTGAACGCTCCGTTGCCCCTATTATGTAGAATAACCACTTTTTTTTTTTGTTCCGGCCCGTAGCTTGTTGCCATTGAACAAGAGTGTTTCTCGACGAGTAAGGATGCGGGAACATCCCCCCAATTTCCGTGGCTTCAACGAAATGAAATATGTCATGCAGTCGACTTCGTCCGCATTGCGTGAGCAGGCTCCGTTTTCTCCCTTTCCCGTTTTCTTTTGTGATTCCATTATTCTTGTGGCCTGCACTAATACGAAAAGTACTTTTTCCTCCTTCGTGCCCAGAATCCCATTTTGGCCTTGAACTCTACTCAACTCACTCTTCATAACATCAAGATTACTATACTACAAATATATATGTGAATATATGTTAGCCTAAGGGGTTTATCCGACATGTTTGAGTCTCACGCTTTGGGCTAGTGCCACATCTTTGTTGTGGACTTAATTTTCTGCTGCCGGTGCCCTTGCATCACAAGAAACTCGCGGCTTCGATTTTTTAACTGTTTTGTATAACTTTCTCATTATATCCTATCTTATCTCTTATCTCTAATATCGTTCCTTTGTCTCTGCTCCGGTATTCTTGGTGACCGTGCACTCTTTTGGGTGTTATAAAATAAGTAAAAAACTTCGAGCGGACCGGTCCATATTCCTCACCCATCGGTACCTTTCACGCCGTGTTCATGGCGTTGGCTTAATCCTTTTTTTTAACTCCATTCTTCTTTCTGTTTACGGTTGCTTCCGTTTCTTAGCGGAGAATATTGTGCGACAATTGATTTTTTCACCTTCAATTGCTCTGAAGTCAGTAATCAAACAAAAGACTGACAAATGAAATCGAAGTGGTAACCGGTGACATAGGGCTCTTTTGCTGAGATGTCATTGGTCCCTGGGGAGACAAGTTCGGGGAAGGACTGGAATGGAATGCACATTCCATTGAAACATTCTAGGTTAGACCGTTGCGTTTGCGCTTGGTTGTTTCAATCGGAAGATAGCGAGCCTACGGCAAGGAAAATCCCCCTGATCTGAGAACAAGTCGCAGCTTTCTCTTCGCTTAATGAGAGATTCCGTAAAAATGTCGAATTCTCTAGACGCAGCACATTCCAGAATTAATCGGGGCAGTTTTTGCTGCTTCGCGGCATAAGTAGTCTCTTGATGCATTGTGCGTTTGTCAAAATAGGACTTATTATCATTCTTTATATAAAAAACTGAAAGAACTTTCCCAATCAACTGAGTTCTTTCCAGGTCTTTCCGGGTCAGAGAATACAGGTGCCGTTTTCGTCACAAGATAACGTATTTGAAAGTGATGCTATTGCTACCTCAACTCCTCGTCATGGCAATCAAATAGCGGGCGGGGAAAGTGCTGGTAAGTTTCTATGGTCCTACACAAAAATTTTTCCTAGTACTTCGTCCATCTTCAACTGATAGTTGATCTGTGGTTTTATTACATTTTCGTACGGTAACGTTAGGAACAGCCTTATTAGTATTCAGCATAATTTCGGGAATAAAATTCGTTTTCTCAGCTGATGGGATTCGTAAAGGGCCAGGCGGTGCTGTTCCAGCACAACATCAACGTGGCAGCAATCTGATGAAAACGCAAAGCGCACCTCTTCCTGGGCTTGATGAAGCTGACTCAGACTGTCTTCAACGGTTTCTGAAAATCAAGGTATGCTTCATTGGAGTCTGAATTATTGTTGCTTATCGTTTTCTTTTTGTTTTGGTTTTTTTGAGTACTCTTTTTCTCTCCGAAAATTTTGTCCACATGACTAGTTGCTTATTCCATTTTATTATCTCTGAATATAAGCTGAGATGACAAGAATTTTAGGTGAAGCAAGTTACTGAGTCGGACGGTACGGTGTCAGGGACGCTTCTTGTTACACCAAATTGCCTCATGTTTGACCCTGATGTTAATCATCCCTTGGTCAAAGAAAATGGGCAGGATTTATATGGAATGGTAGCGAAGTAAGTATTTATCACAGTTTGAAATGACCGCAGTCATACTTTGCGTCTGCGGTTCGCTTGCAGTACCGAGTGATATAAAATATGAGATATGGATCAGTCATGCGATTCTGTGATCGTGCGATCGTCATGTTTTCTTTTTTCAGCATGGACGAAATTGTCTCCGTTTCCGTCTATAAGGAAATCAGCGCGCTAACTGGAGATAAGGAAGACAAAAAGAAGGACATCTTCGATCCGAATCATGTCCGAACTCCAGCTACATCTGTTTCTCATCAAGTGGGTCATTCTTCATTTGAAGTTATTTTTTTGCATTAGCTTTAACAACTCCATCAAGCGAGCACTAGGCACCTAGGAAAGCGTATTTAGACAGCCTTGGAAGGTGAAATGCATGAGTCAATCAGAATGGTCTTCAGCGTGTGTGCGGTTCTACTCAGAGGAACTCCCCGGTGCCAAGCTCTGCGGGGAAAAGTGTTTGTTCCTTTTTGAGATTCGTTATAGATGGAGGAGACCTCTGCATGCTAGTAGGGGAGGGGTAAGTATGCTGGGATTAGGGAGGGGGAGACTGTACAAAATTGCGTGAGACGTTTTTTTGCCGTGTCAATGAAACCGTAAAGTCCACGCTCTTCTTACACCCCCGGTGCCAGTAGCCTCCGCTCACTAGTCGAATTTTCGGGGTTCAATAGTGTCGAGAAATTTCGACATAAAACCAAATGTCAACACGGGATAGGTGTCTTGTTGGAGAACCGTGCGCGGAATCACGCTGTGCGGGGAGGGTTGTGTGTGTGAAAGGAGTTTTTGACATCGGCAATGACGGCAATGCCGCCCATGGGTAAGTTGTATTCGGTCTTCACAGATCGTATCCTTTCAAAGTAAAACAGTGAAACGGTCTGTCTAAGGCACTGTGCGGCAGGTCTCGGGTCCTGCTATATATACTCTTATTCGAAAAAATGCCATATCAGCCGACAGAAAACGCTCCGCAATGTTTGTGACTGTTTTTTGATCCTGTGAAATGTAATGAAAAATAATATATATATAGTTTTCCAATAAGTTCTATCTTAATTCTATCTATCTGTTAATTATCTTATATCTATATAATATATATATATTTAAATTCAAACGATTCTTCAATATTCTTTTTCAGGAACCCCGGGCTGGTGAATTAGGTCTCATATAGGATAATAAATACCGCACAGGTTGCCTGATGACCCATTGCACGAGGGAACCAGTTTTTGTGCGCGGTTCTTTTCTATTTTTAGTTCCAAGGCATTAGGTTTTTTCTTGGTTTTTATGCCGGCCCTCAAAAGGTCAAGTGAGTCTGCAATATTTTATGGTAAGTGAATTCTCTGCTTGTTTCAACATATGGTTCGAATAATAAAAAAAGTGAAGGGATCAATAAGGTAAAACATTTAATTAAATTTTTGATGCGCAAGAAAATGTGCAGGTCGGTGCACATCTTCATTGTGGCCCTTAATACAAAGGAAGTGACTTTTGCATGTATTTTTTTTGTTCACATATTCATAACTATAATTTATTAAAGACTCTCGCTAGAATAGCATCGATTCATATATATAATAATCCTTCGGAGTGAGGCCACTCAGTTGCTTTGCTGAGATATTCTTCTTTCTTATAATTCTTATTCTTTAAAACGTTTGTCCCACAAAAAACCGGTGGGCGGGATCCGCTTATATCAGGTATTCGCAACGTCACTTTTGCCCTGTTTATGTTCTTATGTATTATGCTTCCATACGACGGTGAAGGCCATTAATCAAATCTCATGCGAACGTATCAAAGACATCGTTGCTTCGCGTCGTCTGGCGCATATTCCTGGCACGTTAAATTCTACCAGCAATATAATAACTCCATCATTATCATACAATAGACATAATATAATAAATGCAGCGTTGAATCTTAGAAACGCGTCAATTTAGGTAGGGAATTGGTGTAGAATCAACGGTTCCTTTGAGATTCGACTGCAACTTTCTTTGTTATTCGCTTATGAACCATTTTTCCTGTTAATATTTATTTATTTATAGTCGTCAGACACAATAAGGGTAGTGAATTTTTCTGCCATGCTCGAGCACGAAGAATCACAAAACTGTCATGCGTGTGCATCGGACCTACGGCTGAGCGCGAAGGATGCGTCGGGACGGAGAACATTAGCGACGTGGTAAGCAGGGAAGGTAAGTTTTGTATTTGATAAGTTTAGGTTGTTGACCTAAACGACATGTGATGAAATCCGAAACACGCGCTATGTTTATGCGGCACTTTCCGTGTCTGCCAAGAATTTTTCGAAGGCAATAATGCGGAGGCGATGATGGCAGCCTCAATCAGAAAAGCGATTGGTAGACCTATTTCCTAATGGTCAATTTTTTGTGATGAATGTAGTTTGATTTTGCTATACTTTCACAGGCTTGGGCAGGTAAAAACAGGGGTTCAGTACTAGTCGTCACCTTTTCTAAGAATTAGGCTGAAAGTCTCCCTTTGCCGAATGCTATTTGCAAATTCATAAATCTGTTGTATCATCTCTCCTTAGAAAATCGGTAACATTTGCTTCAGAGTATGCGCAAGTACACATGCGCGAGCGTTCTTCGACGTCGTCGTCATCACAAGATGTAACAGACCGACCGCGTTCATACTCAGGAACTGGATGCGGGTCAACCTGCTGGATCTGGTTCGCGTTTCTCACCGAATGTTGCGCGGCGTTCGTTTGGAAAACTTGGGCGAACCCTCAGGTTAGATTTTCAATTTTCCTTTTTATACTTTTTTTGTTAAAAGACTATGGTTTCTAGTATTTTTTATTTTTACTTTGGCATTGATACAATAATAGCCCTGCATCTCTTAACCAGATCTGGGCGCTCTTCCACTAAGAGGGAGCTTTGTGGCGCAAACAGTTCAACGCGGTTAGAACCTCCACAAACATTTTCCTTCTATTAATGCTCTCTGCGATTAAGCCTAATAGTTTAGGGATGGGGAGAGAGACCCAGGCCGCGTGAGCAGTTTTATTCTTTCCGGAGCTCCACCCCTTCCTAGACTTACACCTCGATCATGGGATGTTTGACTCACAATTCTCCCGCGCGACCCAGCACTTGAACCCTTGTTCAGGGTTTGAAGAAACAGTGAAGGAATGAGCCACTAGCAGTGCGTGAATAAATAACGGTATCCTCGAGCAAAATTGGGATCAGAGCAGCTTGACACCAATAGTGCCCCCTCCCTTACTGGAAGAGCGCCAGATCTTCGCTATTAGTTTCGGACTGATTATTGTAAAGGCCGTTCTCAGGGAACGGTATCACTTATTAGAAAACAGGTTATGGTGTAGCAAAAACAGGTTTTGGAGCTTGCTTAGGTTCTGTGAGAGCTTTAGCTGGTTTATAGAATGAAACAACAAATTTGGGGATCGGAAAGAAATGCGTGGCGGAATGTGTCTGTATGTGCAATTTTCCATTCACTAATTTCAGTGCTCGCGCAAAATCAATCCAAGGTAGTGTTGCTCATGGAACGAAACAAGTTGCTCATGGTGTTGTGACGCACACAAAAAGTGCTGCAGGTGAGTTGCTTTCAGAAATTGTTTCACGTAAGCGAAACGCGTTTACTGAGTCAGTGATATTAGGGGGCATCTTTGAAGACTGGTGATATTTGTTTTGATAGTATTTCCTCAGTGTTTTGATATCTGAAAGAACAACATATCATGATCGAACGATGTTATTATCGACATTTTAATGAAGTAAGAGCTTGCTGATTCTTGTAAATTTGGTGTTTCAATTGTAAGGTAATGAGACACTGAACTCTAAGAAGAGGGTATGGGCGAAAAAACGCATTGAATGAGGGGGTTTAGGCACAGGTCACTGCATGATTGCTTTGTTGAATTTGAAAAACAGGGTGCAATACAATTTTTATCCGTAGTATTCTTTCTCCAGATTCTTTACAAACGGGATTGGAAACGGGTGTCAAAGGTTGTCGGAAGGAGCGGGCCAATGCTGCCTGCAAACCAAGCAAGTATATTTCTCGTTGGTTTTTTTCCGAATCATTCTTTTCGAACGTATTCAGTTTTGAGATAAGGCGTAGCGCAAAAATGCTGAAGCTCTCACGATCGTGATCGATACTTATAGGGTTGTTTTTGAAGATAGTTAAAATAAAACAAATAGTGCATCAAATGAAGTTAAGGCTGCTGCTGATGTCGTAGCTGCTGTGCCAGGAAGAGTGGTAGACATGGGGACAAGTCTAGTATCAGACGGAATCAACGGGGTGCAGGAGATATTCAATGTGGATGTTGAGGTAATTTTTTTCGATTATTTTTATTGGAAGCTAAGCAAACAGTAAGTATGTCGAATATCGTTGATAATGGTGGTTATTCGCTGATTTGTGTCGCGAGAGGACTGGGTCCCCAAAGCCTACAGTAAAACCTCTCAAGTTTGGTTCTGAGAAGTAATATAATTCGTAGACATTGTTCCTATGGAATATTATTCAACATTTCTTGTTTTATGGCGAAAGGCACAGTCACTTGGAATGCCTATATGAGAGAACTTTTGCTCCCGTTGGCCGAGGAGGTGACTGCAGATTGTTTAAACTGTCAGTCTGGACTAGCAGTTTGTAGAATTTTTACCTTCGAATCATTGGTCACATAAATTAAAGGTTGTATAACGATATTGCGGAGGAAAGCTGAAAAGCACATCAAGCCACTAGCTGAACTTCCCAAGGAGAGTTAGCTGACAAGTTCCCAACGTAGCAGTTTTTTTTTCAACTCTACAGTGTGGAAGGCTGGAATGGGGTCGTACGAATAAACAAAGGAAGGGGAGAAATCCGCAATAAGGGCGTAATACGGTGTTTTCAAATCCGTAGTCAAACGTGAATGGGAGGACCAACATTAGGTGATCGGAATAGTGAATTCTGATTGTCTAAACACCGTCTAACCTCGGCCTAGGTATCCAGAATTTGAATTTGAACTTTTCAAAGCAATGACCTACTTGAAAAATCGCCACCTTTGTCATCCTCGGGAGTCAATTTGTTCATAATTTACTGTATCACATCGTCAAGCCGGCTTTTGTGATGTATCACTACTGACGTGTATTGTAGCCTGTCACGGCGCACTGTGCACATCCTGATCGTGAGCACTTAAAGGCGGGTGATAAATCGGATGCTGAAGAAGGGAAAATTACTCCTAGCGAAGGGAGGCCAGGTCTCATGAGGAAAGTGTGGGCCTTCTGCAGGAAGGGCGCGCCTGTCACGTTAAACGGTTTCACCCGTCCCTCTGAATGCTTTCGTGCCTCTGCTCGCTTTCCAATTGTATGTCCCGCAACTGACTTCTCATTGTCGGACTCTGGCAGAGAAGCAGGCCATTCATATCATTAGGGAGGGGAACATAAGTGAGTGAGCTGCTAACAGTACTTGAGGCTACGCCTCGAGGAAAAGAGGGACTTTTGGGGGTGTTTTCTTCTCCCTGGCTTTCTCCCCTCTTCTACGCTTAGTCCTAGTGTCACCTACTAGTGGTTTCATATGCTCTCTTTTGGAGTCTCCTAACGACATGAGCACCAAGCAAAGCGATGTGTTCACGCTGATGATGGCAGCTGTCATAGAATCCAGTATCAAGAGTAATTCACGGGCAAAAAGGAATATTGTTTTCCGATTCTTAGAACATTTTTTTGGTTTTTTTTTGCCAACACCACCGTTTACCGCCCGAGTTCTCTTATATTCAGAGGGCCAACATTCATCGAACACCTGCCTGATCAAGTAAATACTTTTTCACTTTTCGAAAAGGCGATCATGATTCTTCCGGTGATGATCGTGCATGACCCAGTTTGTTGTTTTCCTATCAAAACTTTCTTACCATCTGTGTGGTGATTATCACGCACTCTCATCTGATGCTTTGCTTTGAACACTTTTTCTGTCATTGTTATGGTATGTATGGAGGTCGGGTAGAATATGGAGCTGCTACGGGAAGGTGTCACACTGTATCGTTAAAAAATTAAGCGAGTGTTCGAGGATAAGTACTGAAAAAACGGAAAATACCACTTTATCAATCACATCGGTGGTGCTTGTAGTTTTGGTGTTTTTTACGTGCCGTCGAGTTAGAAAACTGCCAGTCTTTACAAGCCCATACCCAGACGCTTGTTTTTTTCTCCCGTAAAGGTTTTGTTCTGCTTACGTCATTGAACCTCTATTCAAATTTGCTCCCATTCAGAACAGGTTTTGGGTTCTCGGTCTCGCTAGAAACTGCATAATCTTTCAGTCTTTCAAAATCTTCCGTACTTCCGGATCAGTTTAGTCAACTTTAAAACTTGATACTGATGAAGAGACTTCAAAACTTCGCTTCTTCCTTCCTTTCCCGAGAAGGTTTTCCTTTTATACATTTCCAGTCGCTCTTGCGGCTTACTTCGCAATTAGGAGTTCTATTTCGATTCATGATGTGGCTGTGATGATTTCTAACCGATCTCCAAAGGTGCAACAGTCGTGTTCAGTATGATCCACCTCGCTTAGTCGAGGGATGAAAAAATAAGGTATCCGGCGAGAACTTTCGTCCTTTGTACTGGTACCAATCAGAAGTGCTAAGGAGGTTTATGTTAGGACAAAATTTCTGGTTTTCTGTTACCCCCCCCCTTTTCTTAAGAAGTATGCTTTGTTTTTATGGACTAACGGCATTTTTTTTTTCGTCAAATGTCAAACAAGCTTCACGGCGCGGTAATGTTCAGACCTTAGTTCGTTTGAATGTTAAACCGATTTATTAGCGCGTACATCGTTCACTCTGAGCGTTTTGTTGAAAATCGGATGAAAATCAAGCCACTGTCATGGCTCTGATTTATGTGTGCAGTATGTACACCATTCATAGTGTTGCGGCAGTCGGGTTATGGGCGTTATTGATTCCGAGGACGGGAAATCCGTTTAGGCATTCAACATTAGTGTGTCCAGCAGGTGTTCCATGGATTTTGCGGTGCCTGCACACTTCCCTCAATACAACTGTACAACCTCGGACTGGATATTTTTACTGCCAGTTTTTTTCACGGAAAAAAGTCATTGAGATAGACATGTTGTACTTGTACTCAGAAAGCTGTCTTCTTTCCTCTCTTGTTCTTTGGATTTTTTGTTTTAACAAACAACCTCTTCTTGCTTTAGGTATGCTTGTTCTTTTTTTTTCTAGGAGAATTCTTGTAGTCTTGCGTTATTCATTCGTGGAGGTCTGCTAGAGTAGTCATGGATTCTGATTCAGTAAAAAATGGTCACGAGCGATAGTGAATTGGACTCACCACGTGTTTGGGTCAAGACACCCCTTCTCCTCTGCCCACCTCTTCTCCCGTCTTGTGTGTGGTCTTTTACAGTCAGGGCTACTAATGAGCTTCTTAATGCGGGTGGGCAATGGAGTCATCATCATGCTGAAAATTTTCTGCATTAACACCTTTGGATTGAGTACGACTCTGGCTTGGAGGCAGGTGTTTGTTGCGAACGAATGGTTTTGTCGCGCGGGAGGGCGGGGGGGGGGGGGGGGTAGGGAGAGGAAAAATGTTCTGCGACTCTAAAAGAAACTAAAACTTTCTACAATCTTCTAAGTTGCTAACTTTTCCTCACTAATCAAATATTGTTTACTCCTCCTGTACTCCAAAAATGTGACCATTTCAACAACTGCGATCCTCCCCAACCCCTCCACTTTTTGGGAGCTTTAATGAATGATTTGGACCTGGGTCAGAGAAGGGAAAGTGAAAAGCCGAATAGTTATGGTTCTGGTCGCTGGCGCTGCTCTGATTTCTGCCTCTTTCGTTGTTTGCTTTTTTCATTACCCCTATTCGTCTGCAAGTGTTCGTATTGCGGAGTAGAAGGTTAGTTAAGTGTACGTTACCCTTTCGTCGCCTAAAATCCCTCCTGTTCTTCCATCAGAGAAAGTGATCCTAGGTAGATCTTGATTACCCTGAAACTGGATCCTGTTATAGGCGCAGCGCTGATTCATCCATGCGATTTTTTTTGTCTGGTCTGGTTTGGGCATCTCGGTCTCCTCATCAAATGTCTTAATACTAAGGGAATCTAATTAGTTGCCACGTGAAATGGATTGACTTGACACGTAGGAGGGGAGAACATGATGAATTGCGCAGAACATTGAGGCACCACGTTCTTAGCAATTCACGCCAGCCAGGATTATATTTTTATTGCTTATCGCGAGGCATGTAGTAATGTTGAGTAACTAGATCTGTCTTGTATTTTTTTTGCGCTGAATGCAAAAGTTTATTAGTAGGTGCAGATTCATTCCAAAGGGGGTCGTTGCTCTATTTCTTCTTTTATGCTTCTTCAGATCGATTAGCACGTCAAATGTTTGTGGGCTTAAGTGAAGTTAAGCTCTGGTTTGCCGAGGAAAAAGTGCCAGCAACACCACTGAGTCCTATTCCCCGGTTGGAGTTGCATAACGTACCTTCGTTACGAGTTTCACATCACTTTACCTGATCTTATACCTGACCTTTCCCAGCGTCTCAAGTAAGGGTTTATACAGCAAGGAATAAGGGGAAATCACCAGATGGCCCTGCAAATTCCTCGACCATTAACGTAACCCTTGGGTTGATACGATTTGAATTCAAAAAATTCCTTAAATCTTCCCAATTCCTATCTCCACTTTTCCTGAAGGTCTTTCAGTCTATGCGAATACCGTTTCGTGTCTCTTTCGCAATATCTGAAAATCTTTCAAGGAGCTTGCATTCGAGTTTTTCTCAAAATGCGATTTCAGTATTTGCGTTAGTCCGGTGGAGAGATAAATACCGAGGTAGAAGGCTGCAGGGGGTTATGCAGACCATGTTTAGACGGTTTCAATCATGCTGAAATCTTTTGATTCTACCAGGGTAGTGAAATTATCTACGAAGTGGTCAAAAAATCGGATTCAAGATCCTCATGTTGCAGTCTTTTTATCTGCTTATCACCCGCGGCGGGGTAAAGCCGTGCGAAGTTCCCTCTGAGCTTTTAGGTAATGGCTGTTCGGTAACGTCTATGGGGTGTTGAGAGTTTAGGACCGTCCATTCGGACAGAGGAAACGCATTCTTCGCAAGTAGCCCACTGGGGAGAATGAAAAATTTTCTATTGCAATCGCTTCATTGCTTCAGAAGGGACAATTAGGGGAGTTGAAGAAGTTCGTTCCGTTTGAGTTTGTAGTTCTTAATACGAACAAGGTACTCTCACATCTCAGGCAATGGCGGAACGACCTACCCAGTGTCGCATTAGGGGTTTGAAAGTCAGTTTTCCTCGTCCATCTCCCCTACCCAATAATTTCTTTCGCGTCATGAACTACGTAGCGTCGCGCAACAAGAGCGTTCGCACTGTAAAAAGTGTGTGAAGGAGGCGTTCACGGGCTTGCGCCGAATTGTGAAAGGATGTGCAACGATGACGATGCGCTTTGAATCATCCTACCCAGTTCCTGCGGCGTACGCTTCTCATATTACCTGGGAAACCTTCTTTTTTTTTGAT